GATTGTTGATTCTCTGTTTGGCTTAGTTTTTCAGATCTTTGTTGTGGAGGGACGGCATGGTGTTTCTGCCTAGAGCGCCATCTTGCCGGAAGTCTCTATCACATTCTTTATGTTGATTATTAAGCTATCTAGTTTTCTAAGCAGAGATAAAGAGTTGACTTGCTCGTGGCTGCTGCCTCTGGAATACTGACTCTTGAATGGACTATTTAAAATTCTGATTACTCTCTCCACTCACCCACACGTTCATCCTATGTTAATCACCCTGGGGGTATAAATTAAAACTCACACATGCAGCATTTTCTATGCTGAACTATTTTAAAGCTATATAAAGTTTGTCCCATCATTTACATTTAATTCTTTACATCCTTGTGATAGTTACTTACTCTCTCTGTGCCTCAGTTTACATCTATAAAACCAGGGAATAGTAGTTCCCTTATAGAGTTAATGTGAGTTTTAAATGAGTTACTACCTATAAATGCTTAGAATAGTGTCTGGCCTGTAATGAGGGTTCAATAAATTTTGGCTACTAAGGGACAGTTCTACTCTGTCCTATAGGGTTGCTATGAGTTGGAACCGACTTCAAGGCAACGGGTTCGGTTTGGTTACTTCTAGTACTACCACTGCTACTGTGACTGCTACTACTACTTCTACATTATTTATACTTATTGAAAATATAAGCATTTTTTTTTTAATTATTTGAACTCCATTTCATACCTCTTTTGGACAACATTATTTTCCTCTGAGTTGTCAGGGCCCTGCTCCCTGTTTTTTACTTGTTTTTTCACATCACCTAATTCTTTTATGGTACCTATGTTTATTTTTCCCATTTACTTATTTGTGAGTAAAAAGAAACCACCTCAGGGGAGTGTAGTCAGGATGTGTGGATTACCCACAGCTTTCACACAAATCCTTCTCCAGCTGCTCAGGTAAATCACATTGCTCTGCTCAGGTCTGAAGTAAGAGCATAGGTTGATGTGCACCATTCTTTGTCTAAATCCAGATGCCTCTGAAGCAATGAACAGATGATAATTTCCCTTACAGGTATGAAACCAGATTTTAAGCCTCTAGAACAGAGGTCTGCAACTCATGGCCCCTGGCTTAAATCTAGATATCAGAAGTAATTGTTTGTCCTACATACTATTTAATGATTGCTGTCATTTGTTTAGTTTTCTTTAATTTGAAGCAACATAAAGATCGGGATCTCTCCCATTAAAACCCATATTTCATGTATCTCTTGAAAATCTAAACGTCTAGCAACAAATGAAATTAATTTGTGCAGAACCGACCAGCAGCTGCCCTCCTTTCCACAGTGCGTGTGCTCCCCACTTTGCCCCAGCAGTTCCACCATTCACTGACTCCTCAACATAAGGTCAAGTGGCTCTTGCCATTTATATCTGTGGCTGGGCTCTTTCATTTCTTCTAGCACAGATATATTCCCCATACTCAACCGACATGCATCTGTACCCATGTTCTCTGTCTTTGTTAATGCTAAAATGAATAAAATCCCAGACCCTTACCTATGGTTAACCCCCACTGCCCCCGACACTTGTGTTCTGAATCCCATTCTTTTTGCATACTCAAAGATTTTGTGCTCTTCTGAATTCTCAGTTTTTCCATCTCATCAGTATGCAAACGTGCAGTAATAAACCTTTATTGTTTTCATAGCCCATCTCCAACTACTATCCCATTCCTCTTTTATAGCAAAACTCCTAGTAGGTGATGCATGAGTTGTCATCCCTCCTTATTCCATTTTCAAAGCCACTTCAGTCAGGCCTTTATTCCCTTGACTCCACTGAAACCACTCTTGTCAGAGTCACCAATAACCTTCATCTTGCTGAATCTAAAAATCAACTCTAGTTGTTACCTTAACTAGACATCTCATCAGCAATTGGCAAGTTGTCCAATTATTCTTGTTTGACTACTTTCTTCTCTAGATTTCCATGATGCCATGCTTTCATGTTTTTCCTCTTATCTCATTGGCTTCTCCTTCTCAGGCTTCTTTTAAGGGTCCTCCTCATTTTATCTGCAACCTATTACTTACTTTTCCATCCGTGCTTACTGCCCCACATCTTACTCCTCACGTCTCTTCTCTTCTCTAACTACAGTCATGCTCTAGGTGCTCTCATGCTGGCTTTGAACATTCTTCTACACACAGATGACTTTCAGATTTCTCTAGCATCAAACTTTCCCTTTAACTCTGCACTTGAATGACCAGGCTGATTCAACATTTCCACTTGAATGCAGATTAGGTTCTCAAGCACACCTGCCTGAATCCAAACTCTTCGATTTCTTCCTCAGACTTGCTCTTGCCCCAGTTTTCTCCATCTCAGTAAAAGGTACCATGACTTATGTACTTGTTCATTCTTGACTTTTCTTTTTTTTCCTCCCTCTTTACATCTAATCTCTCAACAAGTCTACTAACACTCCCTTCAAGATATATGGCTGACTCTGACCACCTCTCACTACCGACCGTCAATCAAACTCTAGTCCAGAAAACCATCATCATTCGCTTAGACTACAGCAACTGTTATCTAATAAATCTCTGTTCTGCTACTCTCACCTTGCTAGTCAGTTCTCCACCCAATAACCATTGTGACCTTTATAAAAGTTAAACCAAATCATGCTACTTCCTTGCTTAAAACCATCAAATGGCTTCCCATCACTAGGATGACCACCTCATCTTGGTTTGCATGGGACTTTCTTGGTTTTAATATGAAAGTATCATGTCCCAGGAACTCCCTCAGTCCAAAGCAAACTGAGGTGGTTTGTCACACTACCTAGCATGTGCAAAATCAAACAAAGTCAGATAAGAACCCCTACCATGCACTAGATCAACTACAAGTTCTTGTCCCTCCATTGTCTTGGATATCATCTCCTATCGCTCTTAACCTTGTTAACTCTGTTCTATCCATATTGGCCTCTGCTGTTACTCAAATATATCAAGCTTGTTCCTGTTTTAAGTGTTTGTTGAATGAATGGATGGATCTAATAAAAAGTAGGAAAATAAAAGACAGTCAGGATGATGATATGTGTTTTTAAAAAAGTTTCTATTTCTTTGTCAAAATGAGGATTATTTCTATTCATTTAATATAGAAATAACCATCTGCTTTGCTAATTTATATTACCATCCTGGTTCCATTAGCATTTGAGTTTCAGCTCCTGCTCTATGCATGCTAAGAAGTTCAGGCCGAGAACTTGTTGTATTAGATAGATTAAATTCAGGAAGATAAGAGACCTAAGGCATCCATTAACCAAGCAGTTGATGGAAGCTCTTGATTGGCTAAGAGAGTATAGACAGAAAGAGAACTAGATTTTGTGTCAAGAAACATGTGCCCTACTCTTGGCTTTGTACAATCTATAGTTATATGTTCTTCAATGAGTCACTTACTTTCTGGGCATTAGTTATTTTCTGTTTTTCATTTGTTTGGTTGGCTGGTTGTGGTTGCTGTTTAATCAATAAAATGAGCAAGTTGGGTCATATTGTCTCTTTAGATGCTCCCAGCTCAAAAATTGTAAATGATTGATTCTCCTTTGCTTTTCCTCACGTGCTAAGTACATCCATATTTTCCAGATACAACTATAATAAGTGCACAATATATGTGAACCTGATCTATTATGGATGCCACAAATCAGAGGAAAATAAAGCCAGCTACATAGCATCTCTCCTACCAAGACTAGGCAGTATATCTTGCATGATTTTTAGAGAGATTATTCAGTGAAATGCAGACTAGTTCAAATTATTCATGTCATCGAGCTTTTAGCACTTCCTTGGGGCTCTGTTTCCTTGTCACTTTTGAGCAATTTTTGGATTGTAGGGTAAAGTTTCCTTTGCTCAATTTCCTCCTATTTCTTTTCTTTAGTCCCTTTTAGATCAGACAGCATACTCTTTCCCATCTTGGTGCTTACAGTCTTCAAAGATTTTGTAGTAAAATGCCATGCCCTAGTAACTTTCTAAGCTATTTCAAACCCCTACAGCTTCATGGAAATTCTGTTGCTTACATTTTTGCAGAGAGGTAGAATGTAAATCAGGTTATTAATAATTCAAGTCTAGTTTCATGATAACATATTTAAAACTCTATTTTTGTTTTAAATAGAATTCCCTTACATATCCCATTTCCAAGTGGCAAAAATTCGAAGGAAACTGAAAAGTCATATCTCCTGCTCTGTCATTTTCATCATGGAATGGAGAGTAACTGTCAGCAAGCTAGTTCATAGTTTGCTGCTTCAGAAAACCTCCTTAAATTACATTTTTCCTTCTGTTTCCATTTCACATTATGCATACTCTCCTAATTTCCCCCTTTACTATCAACCTTGCTTATTTTTATGCTGCTTGAAATATAATTTTTCCTTGCTGTTTAATGTTAGTAACTTTCTAACCCTCCCAGGTGTTTAGCTCTCCATTTTCTAGGGAATTTCATTATATTTTACTCATTTTCTAAACTCTATCCATTTATTTGTGTGAAACTCATTTTTTTTCCTTACTGTGAAGGAAAAATGATAGCTATCTATCATCAGTAAATTTTATTAATTTACATCTTAAATTATGTATATTTTGTTTTTCTGAAAAATGTTAATAATTCTCTAGTATTACTGTAGCATCTTTGATTTTATAACTCATACTGTTTTTAAAATTATCCAGTTGATATTTATACAGTAGCTGTTGGCAAAAATTAAATGGTGTATACCTTTTGAAAATAGGCATTACAACTAATCATATCCAGCAATGGAAAGCAAATTACTCTCCTTTCTTCAAATGGATAATCTGGTTATGGCATCATCCAGCCATGACACAGCCATAGTATCTCACCATTTGGGTTTCCTTTGTTATTGCTGGGCAGCAACGTTCTTCAAATTTGTCTATGTTTCAGTCAACTCCCTTTCAGGCCAGAAGTGGTTTTGAGTGTACCTGGAACATGATAGAGCTTAATAAATGTTAGTTTCCCACATATTCTGAGCAGAGATTGAAATGCATCTTGTCTGCTAGGGCTGACCCTTTTTGGTTTAGAATTGTAAAAATGATATCCAATTTAACTGATTATAGGATAATAATAAATTTCTCATACTGTGACACTTTGTGTGATTACCAGAGCTGTTCATTCTGTTCTTTTTATTCAGCACCTACTATGTGCTAGTTAATAAGCATAAACAGATGAATAAAACATATTTTCAAAGTGTGTTCAGTCTAGTGGGGGAACAAACATGTTCACAAATGATTAAAACCCAGGGGGAGTTTGTTCTAAAGCATGAGTGAAGTGCAATGAAATCACTTGTGATGAAATCATAACTTGTCCCTTGGAGATTCAAGAATATTTTCAAAAGGAAGTAAGATATGAGCACAGGACTTTACATTTCAGAGTGAGAACAGTATAAGTAAAATAAGTTCTGAACACCTGAACCATAAGATCTGGGTAAAGTCAATAGATGTTGATGTTTGTTAGGTACCACTGAGTCAGTTCCAACGCATAGCAACCCTGTGTGCAACAGATCGAAACACTGCCTGGTCCTGCGTCGTCCTCACAATCATTGCTATGTTTGAGCCCAATGTTGCAGCCACTGTGTCAATCCATCGCACTGAGGGAAAGTCTCTTAAGCTAGTACAGGTCAACTATAGTATTTTAATGATATATATGCTGTCAAGTCCAAGGTAAATCTAAACATGTGAAACCCCCAAATTGTGACAACTAGAGAAGCTTCAGGACCAAAATCTCTGTTTGTTATTCATAACTGAGCTACTTTTCCATGTATTTCCTCTTTTCTATCCCACTTTCAATTAATTTAGTCTCTCACCATCCCAGTGCAAATTCCCAGGTGAATAATCTAACTAATTTAGTTTGACAGAAGTGACCCTCTCCTTAATTCTTTCAACTGTTCAAGATTCAGAAAAGGATGCTGTGCTTCAGTCTTTGAACTGACATGCTTCTTAGAAGGAAGACAGTGGCAGATGATGAGACTGGAAATTTCGACATGGATGAAAATATGAAATTTTTATAGTCAATATTACCCCAAACTTAGTGATATAAAACAATGACCATTTTCTCATGCACATAAATTATATGCGTCAGGAAATTAGATAGGGCAATGTAGGGGTAGCTTGTCCCTATTACATGATATCTTGACTCTCAGCTGGGAAGACTGGATGACTAAGGATGACTAAATGGCTGGAGGCTGGAATCATTTGAAGGTGTGTTTATTTATGTGACTTGTGGTCAATGCTGGTTGTGATCTGGGACCTTAATGACCACTTCATGTAGCTGTTGGACTTTCTATTATACTATTTTAATAGAAAAAAATTTAAGAAAAATGGAAATTTGAAGAAAGGTTTACAACATTCAACATATAGGAAGGAGAGTTATTATGTGTGATTTTTAAACGTTCATAAATATTAGTAAGAAAGTAAAGAAAACCAAATAGAAATTAGTCAAAGTTCATTAAGAAAAGAAAAATCACAATTGTCTACTAAATGCATGAAAAAATATTCAACTTCCTTACCATTCAAAGAAATGTAAATAAAATTAAAAAAAAACAAGATACTTCCAGTTGTCAAGAGTATAAGGAAAAGAAAACTCAAATTACTGTTAGCGAGAAGACAGATTGACATAAATTTTCTGAAGGACAGTCTATAAAATGCATTACAATATAAACTGTGCATACTCTTTATCCCAGCATTTTAAATTCTAGAAATTTGTCCTCAGGAAATTTTCAAACCATGGCAAAATGCATTTAAAAGGCCATTTAAAATAGCACGGTTTCTGTGATGGTTAAGGTTGTACGTCAACTTGGCTGTGCCATGATTTTCAGTGGTTTGGCAGTTATGTAATGATGTAGTCATCCTCCATGATGTGATCTGATGTGATCAGCCAATCAGTTGTAAGGGGCATTTCCTCTGGGGTGTGGCCAGCATCCAATATATATATATGTACATTCTGGCAAAGCTCGCTTGCTTGCTCTGGATTGTGCATCTGGCTCATCATCATCTGACCTCTGGTTCTTGGAACTTGAGCCAGCAGCCTGCCATACTGCCTGCCAATCTTGGGATTTGTCAGCCTCCGCAGCCTGTGAGCCAGTAGCCTGCTGTCTTACCTGTAGATCTTGGATTCATCAGCCCCTGAACCCCATGAGCCAGTGGCCAGCTTTCTGACCTTCCAATCTTGGGTTTGTCAGCCCCTGTAGCTATGTGAGTCAGGAGAAGCCTCCAGCCTGACACTTGACCCACAGACTTGAGGCTTGCTAGCCTCTACAACCACATGAACCTTTTCCTGGAGATAAATCTCTTTCTCTCTCTCTCTCCATATAT